TAGACCATCCCAAACATTATGTTCTGACGCTTTGAGGTATGTAAGGGAAAGATGATAGAATTAACTATTCTACTTCCGGTATCAATTGACCGAAAATTTTACACCTTTTTACGGAATGTACATACATAGTTTGTATTCGATATTTTTGTATATACTTACTAGAGGTTGTACAGTATGACGGTCTCGGTGGTATAGTGGTTTAGCACCGCTTCACTTCCGATAGTCGTAGGTTCGATTCCGCACGGTATAAACATTTTTATTCATGAGTAGAGTTGTATGTATCGGACTGGATGTTTTCTATGTATATTATGTATGTATTTACAAAAATGTATCTACGTATTTATAGCAAAAAATAAACACATCATCGTAAAATTATTAGGTAATAATTTTATGAAAATGTGTATAAATTATTATATACATTTCCTATTTTTATCTGTCTATTATGTATACTCTAATATACTATAATCTAAATATATATAAGTCAAACGTGACTGACGTAGTGATCTATCAACGCACAGCCCAAACCACTGGACAGATCGGGCTGAAATTTGGCATGCAAGTAGATGTTATAACGTAGGTATCCGCTAAGAAAGGATTTTGATTAATTCTATCCCTAAAGGAATAAAATAGGGGACGAAAGTTTATATGAAACTTCATCAATTTTAAACCGATCGGGCTGAGACTTTGCTTGCATAAAGCTACTATGACGTAGCCACCTCCTAAGTAAAGGATTTTGATAAATTCCACCCCTAAGGGGATAAATTAACGCGAGCGAAGCCGCGAGCAAAAGCTAATAATAATATTAAAAGTCACTTAATATCCACTATTTTCTAGTATTGTTTTATTGATGGCCTCGGTGAGTTAGTGGTTTCAAACAATACCTGACTTGTGATAGTCGCGGGTTCGATTTTTTCATGAATATGTTTGTTTGTATCGGTCTGAGTTTTGTCTATGTATGTATTTACATAAAAAGAACTACCTATTAATATATAATTTTTAAGTATACTATAATAATAATAATATAAAAAGTCACTTGATTTTCACTATTTTAAAATATTGTTTTATTGATGTCGTCGGTGATCTGGAGGTTTCGTACAACGCCTGAATTCTGGTGGTCGTGGGTTCGATTCCTCGCACGGAACATACATTTGTTTTATGGAGTATGTTATTTGTATTGGTCTGAGTGTTGTTTATGTATATTATGTATTTCTTTATATCAGTTGTCTGGTACTCATAACAGTAGCTCTATCTAGCGTGGGTGCAAGCTCTGTCTAGATATAGCTGAGTGTTACTCATAGTATTAATATCGCACATACTGCCATGACGCGCTAGTCATTGTACTGCGGCTGCGCGCCGTGAAATATTATGAATCTGTGGCGCATTGCGTTTGCGCGGGAAAACAAACTACAAAATGACTTCTTCTGCAGACATTCTTATAAACTATTGTACTTCTGATTGCTGATTATTTTACACTCTTCTAAATAACTATATATGTCTGAAATTTACTCTAATTTTAATAAACAACTTATATACAACAAAACATACAAATAAAGCCACTAATCATTCCGCTAACATTGAGTACTTTGTTTTGAGATATTATTACTACTACCTGAAAAATAACTATTTACATTTTTATTAATAAAGGTCTAAATAAAAATGGTGTATTTTTAAATAAAACACTCCTATGGGTGTTAATCACTTTATTTTTGATCATTACAACAAACATTCATATTAGGTTTTGACATATGGAGTAATTATAGTAATATGTAGTTAGTACACGTTCAGACATTGAATTATATATGTATCCCATGAAATACTATTTTAATACTAAATCGTACGCAGTAATTACTGCGAGGATATCGGCAAATATGACTGACACACCTATTTATTATAACGTTAACATATTAAAATGTGTCCTAAACCTAAATATTATATTCAATGAAAAGATTATGTAAATCAGTCATTTGAAGAATAATATTAACTTAACAATACATTTATATTAATACTACCGAAACATAAATAGTTTAACATACGCACCCTTAATTTAATACTGCATTATTTCAAATTACAATTTTATTGGATAATAGACTTAAGTATTGTTATTTTAAAGTCTAGTTCCAAATGTTTGTAACTTTTGAGTTATGACAGTATTGTATTAAATGTTCGATATATATATCGCATATCTAGTACTATACCGGTGTAAGTCAATATTAAAAATTTTTGAAATTAGACTTAACACCACAGTTACAAAGTGGTATTTCCAAAATTTGTAATTTTTGAGTTAAGCCAGTATTATAATAAGTGTGCGAAATGTATACATATATATATTTATATATATATATATATAGTTACATTTAATAACGGAACGCGATAGAAAATAATGAAAATAGAGCCGACGCTGTTAGAAGTGTTGCATTTTACTTCGAGCATGTATTATGAAAGCTGTAATGGATTGACGATTTATTGTGCACAGAGCGAAACGAACGCGTTATGTATTTTAAAAATTTAGGCATCGTTTATCATAGCAAATATGACATTTGAAAAATGATTTATACTCAACGTATAAGCTTTTATTTGCCTGTTAAATAAAAAATCATTTATTTTATACATTTCTTTTACGTATAATGTTTGCCTTGTTTTTATTTTATTTATTTTGAATGTATTTTATTTAGTATTTGTGAAACAAAACTGTTAAATATTGCTGTAAAATATCCCATTGAATTAAACTTCAATAAATTAATATACCAAAATATTAAATACAGGCTTTTCAACAACAAAGAGTAATAGGTAATTTTGGACCTAACAAACTGTGAATATTACATTCAATTGGAAATATTAATACGGTATTATAACCGTATACATTAGTTATAATGCAACATTTCCATGGAAATTGTTAATAAGTTACTGGTCAGTGCCACAGAATAAATACGCTTCAAATTATATTAACAGTGCGCCGAGGGGAAAAGATCAGCCTTCACTAACGGACGGATGTAAACCGCATACACTATATAATTATTCCCATTCCATTTGGTATTGGTTCGCTTTTGTTCATATTATAAAATACATTATATTCAGCGATTGGCACAACAATTTACCAAAATGTACCTACAACTTATATAACTGCGCGCATAAGAAAGATTTTCAATTTTATATTCAAACAATAGCGTCGATTTATAATTACTTTGGCAATTAACAGCTTAATAAGTGTCAAACGAATTCTATATTTAAATGTTAGCGGCAGCAGTAATTTTTTTAGCTAATGTAAATTAGGCATATTAGCAACAATATAAAACTAAAATGAGGCCACACTGTTACGCTAACTTTGAAAAGATGAATATAGTCAATGAGATCAATTCTTAACTCATCCTCTAAAACTATCACTAAAATTATCTTCTCATGTGTCTTTGCATTAGATCCGTTACGGGATAAGAATGAAACGGGTATCTATCGTAACATCGTAACAGTATCCTGTCGTAACACAGTTAATATGAAAAACATTAAGATATGACGTAGTTTACCAATGTATTGTTGTAAATTTGGTTTACATTGGAGTTAATTATTTAACTGTGTTAATAAATTAATTTTAGAAATAGTTTAAAAGAATATTATTAAAGATTCAATCCCAATAATAAATTATATTATAGTAGGACGGAAGCATAAGTTAAGAAGTTAATATAAGGAAAAACTTATAGCTTTTAGTAAGTATCTATTAAAAACGAAAAGAATTTTATTCTTAGACTTTTGGTTGATATGACTTATACCGTGCCTTTGGCCATATTTTAATAATAACAATACTTAGAAACATCACTTAAATAAGATGGAAGAAATGATTATATACAATGCATCGGTAATAAAACAAATGTTAAATATACCAGTTAATATTGAAGAGCAGACAGTTGAATCTTATGTTTCACATACGATTAATATCATTGAAATGAAGTTCAGTTGACGATTACATGCAATTACAATTAAGGCCTATCTAATAACTAATGATAAAATGAACTGTAATAATTCATATATTATCACACAGTAAATTTACCAGTACATGACATTAAATTTATTTTAGAATTAAGTACTTTAATATTATGTAATTACTTACTACTATAATCTATATACTGATCACTAAAATGGATTAAACAATTACAGTTTTACATTTAGATTTGATAAGGTTATACCAATTGTAATGTTCCTCACACTAGAATATTATAGCATGTAATATGTTTTAAAACTACAATGAAATCCATTTTTACTATTGGATTTTTGGGACACGGGGGACATCAATACAAACAGAGAATTACATCCAATATTCGTATATATCGAAGCTGCTAATACTATACTAACATTACTATTTTTTATGTAGTTTGATTTAAATATTAAAAACACATAAATATTCATATTGATTGCAAGTGCATACATCGTGATTAATGACTATGTTCCTATTGTAACAACATCGATGAACAATATTAACTTATTTTTAAGCACAGAAGGTAACTACTACGATTATTTGAAGATCGTATCCTGCGAATCCATTAAATTGTTAGGTACTGGAATAGTAACAAGAGTTAACATCATTTGCGGCAGTAGCTTGCCCATAATTAACCTTTATCTAACTACTTGGTATAACTTTAGAATTTAAGGTTTAATTTATGTTGCCTAATTGAAAAAGTTTTTACACACTAAACACGTACTCGTAGTATAAGACCCTGATATTTATCTACTTGGTAATAATAACCAGGACTTCATGAAAGTGAATAACATTATCGATTTTAAATGGAGATCGTATTTTATGAATTGTATACGATTAGTTTACCTGTCTAAGAAGGCAGGTTGGGTTTGGTTTTATACAACAACCAAGTACCCAATCAGTCAAAATACATTCCACATAAGTTGTGGTAAAGGATTTATCAGCTGAAAGAATTGTGTAGACCGTTGATAGAAACTTGCCAAGAAGGAAAGCAATTTGAAATGGAAATTATTTAATGAATCATTATAATAAATGATTAAAATTTCATTAGAATCATTTTCAATTTTAGTTTTCTAATTTATCTATATTTTGTTTCAGGTTTCTTCGGATAACTTGTTGGTGTAGACTGAAAAACATTTTGCATTACACACATAAAACAAGTGTAGAAAATGAAGATAGTGATTACGAATACAAGCAGCTTTGCTAGCAGACATTCCTAGAACATTATCTTTATAAGCACCTTCAGTATTGACACAATCTCATCTCAATATCAATCCTAATCAATAACGATCGAATATAAGTCTTAAATTCTTTTATTTTCTGTTCAATTTTGCATGACTATCAAATCTCATTTGACATCCATTGCTAAAAAAAAAAGTATTCACAGCTCGATTATTTCTATTCAAGTATGTAATATAAAGATTAAATGCAATATTTATCCGACGAAACCTCAACAAAAGTAAGAAATAAGCTTGTAAATAAGTTGATTACTGAAGAGTTCGTCATTATAGTGATAAAAATATTAACATAGTACAGGATCAAAAAGATCCTGTAACCAAGAATGGAAGTCCTTATCCCGGGGATATACGTAAAAGATATTTAAGACTTCATACATTTTTGATTAGAGGATTTTTAAAGGCAGTTCCTCAAAGTTACACAGTCATAAATCATAGCATTAGTCGGTCACTTTGAATAGACTATCCATCGGTACCGTGTATTTTAATAAATGACGTCAATTTTTTCTAACATTCTGAACGTAATCGAACAATTTGGTATATAACCAAACATTTCACTGTAAAGAAAGAGAAAACGAAATCATATATACTCATAAAAATTACCATACAATTCGAAAGCAGTACGTAATATTTAAAAACTGACAATTTAGGAATACATTTCCAATGGTTTCAAAGAGAAATTATATTTTCATAGTGCAGTAGTACCGATAGATAGTATGCTGTCATCTAGTCGATCTTCTTTACAGCTGGTAGAGGTCGACTGAGCTCGAAAGCTGCTTAGAGTGGGACGGTCGGCGTACGACACCAGCGTCCCTGGCTGAGGATCAAACCTGCGTAAAGCTAGCGTGCAACGCCGTCTCCTCTTGACCGATCTGGTTGGCAGGCGAGTAGTACTGTTAAAAAAATATTATTATTATTACTTATCTTATTAATACCTACTATAAAGACGGAAGTTTGTCTGTGTGGGTGGTTAGGTGGATGGATGTTTGTTACTCTTTCACGCAAAAACTACTGACTGGATTCTAATGAAACTTGACAATAATATAGCTTAATATTTTGAATCTAATGAATTAGTTCATTGGTAGTTTGTATTCACACATTTCAATTTAAAAATGTAAAGTTACAATTGTTTAAATGAGCAAAACTCAAGTTTCCTGGATATTCTTGTGAGATAAATATTTCTATATGAGCGGTAGCTAAGTGTGACTATTTAGAAGTGCTTTAGGTTAAGTTTATTTCACTGTAGAATAAAACTATATACAAATTATTATATTGTAAATACAGTACAGTAGCGATAGCGTCATAGCCCAGTATCTACTATTCTGAATTACATCTAAGAGATCGTGAGTACAAATCTGATCATATCAAAAAAATAGTGGGTAATTCACATTTTCGACTGACTTTTTCTGACTCTTGAAACACTGATATGAAATCAAAAATTAATCCGAGTGGCGGTAAGCTCGCCTTCTGTTACGCTTAAATATATCTAAAGAAATGTGCTTGTCAAATGTTAAGTTCATCACAACTTTGACAGTTGATAATGCCTCTAACTAACCCATCCCAGATAACAGTCCAACGGGTTTGTATGTTTTGTTTTGATAGTATAATATAGTTCACAATTATTGGACAGTTTACAATTTAACATTAATAAATATATATGATTTCATTTGAAAAATTACTTATTACTTATTTATATATACGGTATCTTATATGGTGTTTTGAAACTTACTTAAAAATACAAAAATATTGTTGTTAACAATGTTTTTTAATACAATAACAGTTAATAAATGAAATGGTATTTAGAGAGATAACCCACACGTATTTAGATAAGGCTTAGAAATATTAGTGTGATAATAGGTTTAGTGCTACTTTAGTATATATAGATGAGAATAAGACCTATGTAAATATTGTTAGACATTTCGTAAATAGTTTGTATTGTATTTTCTATGATAACAGTCGAGATGAAAGTATGAAATTCAAAAGAGAAATAGCTGTTTCTATTTTAAAATGTCATTTTATTTTTGTAAAAAGAACACAATATGATATAGTTATTACTCAAATTTATATTATAGGCGAGTATTAGCAAATATTTTTTAGTCTTATTTATCCTTATAGGAAAGGCAAAGACTCATTGCCCATACAGCCGTTATCTTTAGTAAAATTGAATCTGCATAACTTTATGATATGTTAGGTATTCTTTTTTCAAAATTTTGAATGACACTGTTTGAATGAAATTACGAAAAAAGAATAAATAAACGCAAATATACTATTAGTGAATAATCTAAAGAGAGGTTTACTTAAATATATCGTTCTAGATTTAACATTTATATATACGTTATCAAACATTACTTACACCAGTGAAGGCGCCCCCATTCCATCCGAGACGGTCGTGTTCGCGCTGCGGGGTACGTTGCGGTGGAGTTTTGCTTTCAGGCCGCTGATTCATGCGAGCTTTGGATTTCAGGGCTGTCCCAAGTGGTATATTGGAACGTGCTGCCTCAGTTCTGCCGTGATGGCAGAATTCTAGAAGCGCCACACATAGAGCGACTGCCAAACCCACCATAAGCACATAGAACAGTCCGGCCACTTGGTTCAACGACAACTCAGTTCCACGGATGTACTGTCAAAAAGAAGCTTGAATTATTATAGGATCAGAAATATATTAAATAGTCTAAAAATGCATTGGTTTTTACAATAGTAAAATGTAATATAAAATTGTTATGAAAGAAATTTAATATTTTATGGCTGTTTTATAAAAATAATAATAAATAAAATACTAATTTCAATGGTAAAAATTGAAATATTAATTTAAAAGTATGCAATTACACTGTTTTAGTAATAAAAAATATATTTTTGATATTTACAATAAAAAATGACTTACCAGTATAAATAAAATAACAATATAAATATAAACAAGAAGAAGAAAGAAGAGAAGTATCATCTCCTATAATATTAATAAATGAACTTACCGGTTCGTTAAGGTCACATTCACTCTTCGTGAACCATTTACGAACGAGCTTTTGTATTTCTCCATCATTCTTTAACGACTGCAGAGCCAAATTGATGCCATCCCTACGAAAAATCTCAAATAGTTAATACCTTAAATATACTATCAAAATTAATGTAATTATAATTAAAAATAAACATACAATGAAAAATTTGGGTATTTCTAAAACATAGTCATCAGATCGCTAAAATTAATCGCAATATTTCTTTTAAGTTTTAATAGTAAATTCCTATATACCCTAGCAATGAATGAAGTTATGAATGACAGGATGTCTAAATATTAAGTGAATTAGATATAACTTACGGGGAAACTGAAATGATTGTAATAGTTTGTGACGCGCAAAATTCGCAATATAAGTTAAAAAAATGCAAAGCAACCATCGCAGTAGCTTAACAAAGATTACTCATTCAACAAAGATGCGCACCGAAGCTTGGATCCCTTGGGCAGTGCAATGGCGAAGTCCTTAACACCAGTGTTTGTGATAGTCACTATCATCTCGCAAGGTTTGTAGTCCGGTTTACCAGATTTGTCGATAAGGAAAGCCAGCCAGCCATGCTCATCTGCTGCGATATCTTGATGGATTGCAACACTCCTTTGTGTATCTGAAGTGTCCTAAAACATGATGCATTTAAGATAAGTAAATTAAACCCTAATTATCATTTAATTTGAATTGAAATTACAATGCGAGTGTAATGTAAAAATGTAGGATGATAAAATTGGAACAAAATATTGACTACTAGAAAGATTTATAAGTATTTTAAAAAAGATGGTATTTTTTTTTAAATACATACAATTATATATCTTATTTTGATACTCTTTTTATATTATGATACTAATGTATTTTGATATTATATAATTACTAAGAAATCTCGCCAGACATGTGTTTTTGTTTATCTGGAAAAGTTGTAAATTTTTATTAAATTTCTGTTGAGACTAACAAATAAGTTAATGGACAAGTTAATTGAAAGTAGTGAATACTGTTTACTAAACAATGTTGTGGATATCATAGAGTTTAGTATATCCTAATGACACCTCTCTAACTTGAATAATGTGACTCGGAACTCCATAGTCTATCAGTAAGTATTGAAAAGTAAGTTAAAGTTAAAGTATTGAAAATATTATAAAAAATGTTAATTATATATATTTTTTATTAATATAAAAACATCGATTATGGACTAAATCATACGACAACGAAACGACGATCGATTCGTCTGTCGAATCTGGAATATTTTCAGTGAAATATAAGTAATATTGTTTAATGTAGAACAGTTAACAATACGTCTGAATATTCCATTACAATTATAGTAATAAGGATATATAATTTTAGATAACAATTTGAAAGAAATTTATTTCTTAACTAAATGAATATTGAAAAAGTTAGATTTTCCTGAGCGGGTTAACGATTAACGTTTATTACCCACTATTGAACTGCTTAAATTCAAACTGAATATACGAGAATGGCTTTTACGGCACTAATTTATACTTATTTGTAGCTGTACCATAAAGTGTAACAGTCACGTATATAGAGAGTAAACAATTTTGTACTTTAACCATGAAGTAATTAGAAAAGAAATTGCATAATGTAAAATATTAGCATAATATGAAAAATAATATAAGGTCCTTCTTCTGAGGTTTAATATTAAAGAATAGTATGCAAAAAACTATTCGATTTGTTTTTAAAAAAATTGACATCGTTATAGGATCCCATTTCGTTGAAATTCAATTAATTATATTAAGGTGTGAACGCAATATACCTTAATTTTGAATAGAATAATATCTTAATTATATTAAAAAGAATAAAAAAATATATAGGTACCACTATTATTTCAAATGCATTATAAAGCATAATATACTGTAAAAAAATATAACTTAAAAAATAAAATATGATACTTTAATATTCAATACATAATATGTTATATTTTTTTAATCTGTGATAGTAAATGTTTCATTTTATATTATAAGAGTGTATTACCTCAGGGCACATGGCTATTTTCTCATAAGATGGAATAGGTTCGGAGATGCGTGCGAGTGTTAAATACGACGCCATGTTTGCGGTGTACGAGGATATCACTACCAACGTAAAGAACCACCACACTGATCCAACGATCCTTCCAGACACAGATCTGTAAGAAATATTTAATATAAATATATTAACTACGTGGTGATATTTTACTCAATTTGAATGATACTCAATTTTAACATGTTTGCGATTATGTAAGTTTGATCTTTAGGCCTTCAACCATATCAACAAATAGCATAATTGCAATTATAACAAGTAGATCATAAGGAAAAAAATACAAACTAACTACATTTCTACTTTTATTTGTTAAAACTACAAATGGATACAAAAAGGCTTTATTATTATGTTTGACAGTTTCGTGTTGTGTTGCAATTGCATCGCGTAATTGCAATTGTCAATTTGTATTACAATAATAACACAATTATGAATAGTAATGCTCTCATAGTATGCAAACGTAGTGTAGAGTAGTGGGTTAGTAAGTGGATAAGAAGAGCTGAAGATGGTGCCCAGTGACGTGTCTTGGAAGAGACCTATGTCCAGCGGTATAGTGGGCTGATGATGATGATACTCTCATCAAGCTGCTATTATGCTACCAGTACTAGACAACAGTTTTATAAGAGTTTAAGAGTAACAAGAAAAAATATTGGTCATTTAGAACCGTAAAATTTCAGTAAACGTTATAATATATCTTACGGACCAAAACATTGAACTTATGTCCTTAAACACAGTATCAGCATGTTTAACTTAAATGAAATGTTAGCTATTTTATTATAAAATGACATAATGTACTACGAACTTCCTTAGTCTATGCAGGTTGTATTACCAGCTTGCTTACTGGAGCAAAGGGTGATTGGTAATACTGGCCACAAATAAAAACATGTCGCCACTTAAATTTCGAATATAGAATAAAAAAAACAATTGAAAATAACAACTGGAATGGAATAACAAAAGGACGCTCCGTATTTTTAACTATATAAAATTAAAAATATTTATTTAATTATTTCACTATAATTGTTTTTATTAAAATAAACACTCTACAGTGCATGGCCACTAAACTGTGTTACACATCGCGAACGTTCCTGAGCAAAGGTGAGTATGTTAGATGTTACTTTGCTTACTTGGATGATCGGAATGTGGAAGACGTTCTTCCTGGGTGAAATCGTATTTCTCCTGTCCATTTTCATTAATTATTTTCTTTTTGAAATATACAGTCCACTATCTATTTTATTCATTAGTTTATAAGGATTCGTAATCCAATAGTAGGAGTTTAGGGGGGGAAGGAGTTTGTTAGTAATGGGAACTAGTAACTTCCATTGCTAGCAATGTACCATGTTAGGTCGACCTTCACGCGGTACCCCCTGGAAACCATCATGATAAAAATTCTTGTTGAATGTGTCGATGGGCTAACTGACCTCACCTCATGCTCATTTTATCATCCTCCGCTGGTGTCCCGCCAGCGTAAACCGTTAGCGCAGGCGGGAGGACCATTCCATTATCATATATAAAAAAAAATAGTACGAGTATATACTAGATAATAATATATTTATATATTCACTAACCTTGGAGTAATCTCACTACCCTGTTGCATGAATGAGCCCAGTGAAAACCACAGGGCATTCCAGAAGTTGAACTCATTGACAACCGTAGTCTGCAACATTGTAATTTATACTTTCGTTATTGTACACACACTATATATACATATAAATAAAATTGGAGTGTCTGTTTGTAATATAGAAATAACCGTGTTTTACTACATGCATTTTAATATAAATACGGTACATACACAAAAATAACATTTTTTATAATTTTTGTCTGTCGGTCTGTTTGTTCCGGCTAATCTCAAAAATGGCTGGACCGATTTAGACGAGACTTTTTTTGCCAGATAGCTAATATAATAAGGAATAACTTAAGCTGCTTTTATATTAGAAAATTCTATTGTTTTATAAAAATATAGTTAAATTCCACGCGGACGAAGTCGCGGGAATAGGTAGTTATATAATATAAACTTTATTTTAAAGAATACAAAGTCCTTAGTAAAGAAATGAGAATAATATCGAACTTATCTCATTATAGAGAGAAATTAAACTCTTCAATGATTGAGAGTCGTGGAAACAAAACTTTATTAATACAAGAAATTTGTATATTACATAAACAATACGGAACACTAAGGTAATTATCATTACATAGTATAAAACAAAGTCACTGTCACTGTCTGTCTTAGCGATAAAACCGCCCTTGTACATATACATATACTCGGTATATATAATAATTTTAATTGTATTACCGTTCTAGTGTGATAAAGAGTGTGGCAACACTGCCAGTTTGATAGCCATTCGGTTCCCGCGAAAAGGGGACACAAAAAAATGACAGAAGGGTGTAATAGTTTGAGAAGGTGATGAAAAATTACTATGTTAACTATCGTAAGAACGACTGATTGTAATGTATGATTGATGAATATATATTGGAAATAACTATGAGTTTTTCTGCCGTCTGGCTATTGACGTCCAATTCACAATCTCAACATAGATGAGTTTTCGCGTCGGCAAAGAATGACGCATGTCCTAACTCTAAAAGAGTATTAAATAAAAAAATAATAATATACATAATATCATGATAAAATCAAATAATAATTTCAGCAACAAACCGCAAACGAGCGAATATATTAATATGAAATATAATTATATTAATGTGTATTTACTGGAAATAGGGAGATTATAATTTGTTAATATAATGCGTCGAACACTTCACAATAATATTGGCATGCAACATTCTCGGAAACAATTCAATTAATATTAATTAATTATATTATCAATCATCTATATGAAGTCGATTTTGTGTGAGTTGAATATAATATAAATAACTGTTAATTAAAAATGTTATTAGCAAAATAACATTTTTAATTAACAGTTATTTATTAAATGGATCTCATGTCGTTTTAGTAGGAGCTGAATATTTATTAATACATACCTACATACAATTTTTTTAAACAGTGTTTTTTAACAATCATTTCTTAAACAATAAACAATTCTTACAACTGCAATCAGATCTTTTAGAATAGAATAGAATAGAATACTACTATTTAAACTAGACGCGACGAACAAACATTGGTTGTGTGGAATTAAGATGATTTTTGGAAAAAAAATCTGGGCATATAGCGCAGAGAAGAGAAAGTTTAACATGAACTCAGTTACGAAGAAAATTATTAGTAAGAGAATATCTATAGTCTAAAATTTGCAAATCTTGCAAAGTTTGTTTTTTTAATGAACTCTTTAATTAATTGCATGCTTGACTAAATAAATGAATTGTATATTGATTAAAACAATCTTAAGTAATTTAATCACTTTGTTTCTTTGAAGCGTAGAAGATTTTTTTTATATATTAAAATCAATACGTTTATTTGATATTTTAGTAATGAAATTAGATAGAAATTTTATTATTACTAAAAGTATATATTGTAGGAACGTTTTAATAGAATGTCGTAATTATATATTGTGGAATTTCACTGTATGTAAAAATACGAATTATACAAATAAAGACAAAATTAAATTATTAAATTTATTTTTAGGTAAGGTCCAAGATGCTGACGTATATACAGAAGCCTTTCATAAAATAAAATAAGAATATTTTTATAATCGTATAATTTTAAGTAGTATAAATAGTTTTAAAATATAAACGTGATGGCAATTAGCTGTAAGTTTATATTGTGTTAATTAAATGAATAAATAAATAAAATAATATATAACTTTGAAAAGGAAATGTATATAATTTAAAAAATGATTTCTGTTTATTACTAGCCAGTAATTTCGAATCGAACAATACCAAACATAATACGTTCACTTATTTGTTCTGGAATAATTGGCAATATTTGCGTCTTGTCAAAAGAAAATAAACCTTTTTATTGCAACTGAATATACATATATACATATTAAATAATACATTGATCTACCCGAAAGAACTTCTTAAAAGGCCATATAAGAATAGTAACAGGTCAAATGCATTATGTTTTTGTGACTATTTTATTATAAAGCAAGTTTGTAATAAAAACTATGTTGGCGTACCTTCGTAGTCGCGACTTCTGAGTGTTCAGACGACTGGGTATCAGTGAAAGAGACAACACGCCATTCGTAAGGCGAAAATCTCGACACGATGAATAAAACCACGCTAACTGCGAATATACTGCACAGGATGCATAGCTGAAAATGTACGTAATATTAGGATATGCTACTTTACAAAATATTTTATATACTAGTGGAGCTCCTTCCAATCGATACCCCGTCCAATTCAAACGAGGTTCGAACCCTTAGCGGTGCCCTCAGACTAAAGTCGTATCCGTCAGGTGGGAGTTGGCCTTCAGCCGCTCCATAAGTCCTTCCGCGGGTTAGGAGTGCCATCTACACTCGCCCCTTACCGCCCGGTGAAGCTGTAAAGGCCAGCTACGGCTAACAGCATTAGAGTAGTCCCGAGTAACAGAACGAGTAACAGAGCGAGCTTAAAACAGGACTAAAGATATACCTATATTCATACGTAATGAAGAAATTCCGCACATTCTTGTTTTCTTAATAACACTATATCATTACAAGTTACAAGTGTAATCTTTCTCCTGAGTCCATTGTAGCGAATTCCTTGATAGGTTTTTATACTATTTTTAAATTTTATAATAATATTCTTTGACTTATTATTTATTGTTCGCTTTTATTATATATCGGTGTCATACTAGTCGCATTTTATTTAATCTCCGTATTTTCCTCATTAAAACCCTCAGAACTAATCAGACACATTTGATACCTCCGCTTCATCCATTTTTAGTGATACAATATATTTGTATGTCAAGATTGACTAAGATCATTTCCGCCATTTAGTAGCGTAAAGGTAACAAGCCATATGTCACTAAAAAGTCTACAAAATATAAATAAAATTCTTTTAAATAAAAATATATTAATTGTGTTATAAACTTACCCATATTTCTTTCGATAGTGGAAATAGGAAGCTGAAAATAGAGCCTTTGTCTTTACCATCCGGTTTAACGTCAAAGGACAGGAATGGTTTGCTGAAGTCTACCACCGTCTCTCTCTCTACAGTCACAGTCAGCGGAGCTATGACCATATCTACTTCCTGAAAATTAAAAAAAAACTTGTACTCTCTACTCTATACCAAATACAAAATGTTATGTAAAGAACAAAAAAAAAATATAACCCAACAGAAGAGTGCAAAATGAGTACAAACTTTTGTCAATAAATATATTATTATTACTATTATTATTGTTCAGTCATTATTAATATACTTATAACTATTATTGTTTTTGCTACCTAACCTTAGTAATAATAATAATAATCGATACAGCGCCCCGTAGTAACAAACACATATACATATTGTTATAACATACACAAGACACACCTATACCATTAAAAAAAATGCATGTGAATATAAATATTGTGGCAGAACCGAACCTGCGGCTATCGGACGTTAGGCGATGTGCTAAACTGCTAGACCATTACCTTTATTATTCGAAAACCTAAAGTATCTTAGAAACCCACAGTGAGCTGTGTCTTGCATCCTGTATTTCAAAGTGTTATTATACTATAATTCAGGTATTTTATGTTTCACCACACACGATTATATCTCACATTATTTTTATTCCTACGCATTATTAATAAATTTTGTACACGAAGCGCCAAAATATATTTTCATCGTCATAATAAATTTCATCGTAATTACTTTTAAACTTTGTTCAAACGATTTATAAAAGAAAACTATAATTAGTGTTGAAAATTGTACTTTTCTTTAAGTAACTTTGAAAGTAATAATTATACGCGGGCAGGCACCTATTCCTCATCGTTAAACAATAACTTTTATATATTTTGCAGGTATGTAATTATACTAATGAGGTTTTTGCATGTTATTTGTATGTAACTATATGAATACAAATACAATACACGACTAAGTAATTTATGCATAAATATAAGAACTTTCCGATGTAGCATTAATAAATTTATTAGTACTCTTACTGATATTTATTAGCTACCGACTGTTATGCGCTGATTTGTCTGCATTTTCGATATACAAAATAAAAGACAGACTATGTCCGCCCTCAATCCAAATCGTACAATCACTCCTAATTGCATTAAGATTTGTTCAGCTGTTTATTCGTGAAAGACAACAAACAGGCAGAACAAAACACATTTTTGTTTTTGTAATATTGGTGTTTATTAGTCCGGGTATTATGGTTGAAATTAACTTGGTAAGATTTATGTACGATTTAGTTAAAAGTTCCAGTAAAAATAATGAGTAATTTACGAGAGACTGATCGACGCATTAAAAGACGCATTATATTAATTTCCAGAGACATTGGATATTTTTTTATATTAATACTTATAATATTCACGATCTGGGTGTTCGGGCGAAGCCGTATCAGGTGACTAGTAAAATTATGAACGGAGAAATTGGTTTAAGATTACTATGTTACCAATAGATCTACAAGGAAAACTTCTGTGATTTCGGAATGGAATAATAACAGTATATAGTACAATTTATAATCTTTTTTCTCAGTATTGGTAACTACATAATTTATAGATGTGTAGGATAAGGGGACGACGTTTGAGATTTATACGCCGTAACTTCCTATGAAAAGGGAAACCATTTAGAGAGGTTATATTAAAGGAAAGTCTTGATACTTTTATAAGTTTACTATTTTATCGTATCGCAAATATCGACGCGCGGCAACTATAAAGGAACCCATGTCGTTCTCTTTATTATTTGATGAAATCAGCCAACTTTGTAATGATTATTACATACACTTACATACATTGTTATACTTTACCACAATATAATGATTATTTTTAATCATTTACCTCAGTATTATTTATAAGAAATATCACACGGTTGTATTCATTTACGTCAATTGATTAACTTACAATAACTTAAGATATAATTAAAAGATTTACTTAAATTTTAAATAAGATTATATTGGTTAAAAAATAAGTATGATAATACAATGACATTAAACGTATATGTATTGAAGAATTCTATTATAATAGTATAAATATGATTAATTAATTAGACACGTACCTTTCTCAGAATTTCTCCAATCATGCCGTCCCAGCCACCGACTATTTTGGGATTCTCATTTCCGTATTTACCGTCTTTAACCAAGCGTATTTGATCTAAAAATTTTCATATTTCAATTAATTATACATACACAATAAAAAAAAAAACATTATATATTTATACTTTTAAACAAATTGTAAAATTTGTTTAAGTATTTCGATGCACCTATATAACCCAAAAAGTATATGATCAAAATATACATATTCACGTAGTTATTAACACTGTATTTTACCTGTATTAATTATATATATGAATTAATGATTAATAGTCAAAGTTTTGATTAACTTAACGGTATTATTAACGTTTATTATTGTTAATGAAAATAAACAACTATGATATTGTTACCGTCGAAATTAAACAAAGTTCCTCCCCTACAATAATAAATACGGTTAATTATAATACAAGTTATAGAAACAATTTCGAATTTATAAAGATAATATAGCTGTGTGACTTTACATTTGATTTCCAGCTTCTGTGACAGCATTTCGGCGAGGTCGACACAGAACCCTTTGTAAGGGTCGTTAGTTCCTTCGGGGTTAGGGCCCTGCCGCATAATGTAAGGGGATTCCTCGATGGTGGACACTATGTACGTTTTGTTGCGGTTATACAAGCCAGGAACATCTATCGGCGACAGTTTGGCTTTTACTGGGATTAAGCCCATGTGATCGTACCATGTTGCAATCTGTTAGCAGAACATTTCATTTTATTAGAATTTACATCATTGTATACAAAAACAAATAGTGAATTGAATAACCAAACAACAAATAATTAATTTATATAATATTTTGAATTACGGTATTTTTATGTACGTATATCAAAATTATTAATTTTTTTTAGCCCACCTAAGTTTTTCGCCAATTTTTATCGAATAAATGTAAAAAAATACTAAAATGTGTTAGCATAATCATCATTGGATATAAAAACAAATAATGTAGAACAATAATTAGTTAATCGATATACTAATTTATAATACGTTATGTTTCAGTATGTTCGAGTATATCATATTTAATAATTTGTTCTATAAGAACTCAAATTAAGTTTATTAATTAAAATTTACTAAATATCTATTCTTAAGTTAAGTTTAATTAAATAAATAGTATTTTTAATCAATTCAATTGGCAGATTATAATTTTTAAAAATAAATATTATTAACAGTGTTATTCATGAAACGCAACTCAATTCAAAAATAAATGTGTACGTTATTTGTATATTAATATTATAGATGTAAATATTATTCATTTATAAGCAATGAAATTAATATTAAGTTTTGCTTTAGAAATATACTTCCTTATTAACATAGATACCATAAATAAAACAAAATAATTAAGTGTTCAAAGAAAAGAAAACTTATATTTAAATATTGAATATAATCTTCAAATACTTTTTAATATAAATTTCAAAGAGTATTATTCAATTAACACTATCACAGTACGAATTTAGTAGTAAGAACTAATCGGAAAACTAAAACCACAGTGTTATTAGATTAGAAAATAAAACTTATATATGTGATATTTTCTTAGTAGATTAAATATGATATTATTGAGATGTTTACACAAGAAATTTTTAGGCTGTATATCAGACCATTGTATTTAGCACAATGAAAAAAATAATATAACAAATTACAATTACATTACATTTCTTATTACGTAGTTATTAAATTATATATCAACTAATTAACATCTTGGGCAGGAACCATAGTTAATTTGTTTTTGTTATATCTATGGATGTAGGTCGGACCGAAATTTTCGGGACTTGAATTTTAATATTTGTGTTGATCCTGTAGCTGTTTTACGTAAGTTTTTCTTTTTACTCTCCTTCACCTTCATCATCCTAATTACTTGTAGGTCTCTAGCTTTTGCTTTTTAGGGTTAGATGATCCTGGATGAGTTCTTTGTTTTTTTTAAGTTAATAAAACATTATGCATATGGATATCATTAAATATAAAGTTTGGAGGAAAGTCAATATTGTAATAAAAATATATAATTGAAAAATTATACTATACTATACATAGAAATGTCAGGTAAAGAAATATTCGTGTATATTATTTTTATAAGGTACATTACCTTAACCATATCTCCATCGACGGTAAGCTCCATAACTTGTAGCGAGAAGTTTTTCCTGTGACCTGCTTCATTGAACCGTATGGTGCCAGTCAAACCATCTATCTCCGTCTGAAGCAAACAACGGCTCTTGTCTTTCAATTTAATAGCATTAAATTCATAATACAGTAATAGGGTTACGGAGAAAGGGCGCGGAATTGAGCATCATATTCAATCTTTCGTACATTTCACAATTTTGCCAAAGCAAAATATTACTTATTCATTTATGTTCTAAATTCCACATTGCAATACAGACGGGTAACGTGAGTTTTAAGAAATACAGCGGAATACGAAAATTTTAGTATATTATTTTATAACTATCATTTTTAGGTGTATGTTAATAATAATATTCATTACTATGTTGACAAAAACATTTATATGTTAAGTAATTCGTTACCTGAAGTATAACAATTTATTAAATGCTAGATACAAGTAAAAAATTCGCGGAGCATTAATTTTATATAGAGTTGGTAAATTTATAAGTAATATTATACATTTCTGAGAGGAGTAGCCGTTAAATCTACGATGGTCGGCGAGTGGCGTAAATATAAATTTTCGGGGAATAACTACATATTTATAGCGGTTGCTATCGAAACTCTCCGCAAGAGGGTACGGAGTGTTAAAAGATTTTTCGAAGACTACCTTGCTAGTTTAGTAGCTAGCTACTTCACTAAACGATTCGAAGATTAGGAGAGTGGGTTGGTTCCTCGTTAATAGGTTCCGCTTTAGACTTAACGTATCCAATATCCCTCAAATTCGTATCCGAATGATTGCATGTTCATTATAATAGTTTGCTCAGTGAAGTAATGTGTGCTCTGTTCAAATTTAATTAGCTAGATTTGACTTGCATAATAGAGTTACACAACGTGACTAACATTATTTTAATACACATTTATATTTATAAAATAAATTAAGTACTGTTTTGTATATATTTTTCGTTTTTTTTAAGTTTTCAGTTAGTTCTAGACTGAATCTTGTTGTAACTGGCTAATGAAGAAATGTTTTATATTCTAAATTTGTATTTAAAATTTATAGTTCCTTTTGTAGATTCTTGTATTGTTACTTTAATTTCCTTCTTTCTATTCTTATATGTCAGTAATCTATATTAATATATATTTTTCTCCGTTTACCTAGTCTTTTTTCTTATTACTACATGAATAAACTACAACAAATCTATATTCGGAACTAACGATAAATTTTAATTTCTACTTTACTATAATAGTCCTAAACGAATATAAAAATTTTGACCTAATTTGAATACTACAGTATTTATCAGAGAAGGTTTAGTTACTTCTAAATTCAAAATAAATCTAGAACTGACAAAAAAAAAATGAAAATAGTGACGTAATATTTTTATTTCAAATTTGTTTATTTTCAGTTATACGTATAATTAGTAAAAATTTTCGGTGTCTTACCACGTTTTATATTTATTTGCTGAGTTCCCGATATTTCGGCAGTGTTTCAACCGCCATTATCACGGGTAAACTGTTAATAAATATAAACCGTGGTAAGACCCGTGATTTTTACTAATTATATGTATAAGTAACGACCGCGTCAAATTTAAAACAGTATATTTTCAGTTAGTTCATTATGGATAATTTAATTTATGTAACTAAAATGCAAAATATCCATATTTATTTGTTTGTTCGTATTTTATACGCATACATATAACATACTGTTCATCCCATTGCCACAATGCGCGAAAGTAGGCTTAGTACAATTAGCTTACAGTAGGAGGCGCGCGTGTCGTACCGAGAAATGTATACGAAAGAGCATTTCTGTAATTCTATAATATTCTGCGGCGGCAAAGAGCTGAGAATAGTATCATATAATGTTGTGCATCTAATACGAGTATCTCGGACGTATTGCGAAAGAACCGAATAAAAAGTACGAGCGCGGAAAAGGTATGAATAAATCGATGTATACAGACAAAGTGAGAGAAGTATTTTTGAAAGAAAATATTTTATTCAGTGCAATGTAAAAAATACAATATAAACAACAAATTAAAAAAAAAGAGCAAATAAAATGTACATATAATTAAACTTGATTTACCGTGTAGGTAATTAAAAATAAACATAAAATAATTATTTTTTACATCAAAAAATGCACTGAAATGGCTCCACTCAGCTTTAATGTATGTCCTAGGTGAACATACAGCTGGTTTTCAGTGGCACCAAAATGAGGAAAAAATATATATATAATAGGGGGAGAGAGAGAGGCACTATTTAAAATATTAATGATAATGATTAAAACAAAATTAAAACTAATAAATACAAACCAATTACATATACTAGAAAGAACAAAATAGAATAAAATAACATTATGAATAGTTAAACGGCAGAGACGCTGATAGCCCACCTGATGAAATTGAGTTCTGTATGTTGAAGGAGTATCAGGAACATCCGTGGTATGCTTCATGCAATACCAGTTTTAAAGTTTTTAATTTTAATAGTTTCATCGATCTACTCACCTTTAATCAACATACTATATACAAAGCAAGCTGCCTAGCGACAGCAGATACAAAAGTCGATAGTCAAATTCCAACGTTGTTGTCGTACGTACAGAGACGGGCGTGGTGATGTAAGATAAGTAGGTACTCATATCGGATGTGTAAAACAGAAATATTAAAATTCAAAGGGCATAGGTATCGAGAGTTAACAGAGTTTGGATAATTAGTCATCAAGCAGTGAAACCTAATTAATCGCCCCTGCCTAAAGTCCGTAGCCGCTAAAATAAGAGATGAGGGTGACCCCGTATCCACCACCTGTGTTCTTATATTCACGATTAAAATTACTGACCTACATACGGATATTAACAATTTTTATTAATCACGATACGGGATACCTCTTTGCTTTAAAGCGACTACACACGGTCATGAAATTGGTGACGAAATCGGGGTAGAGGTTGGCACTCTAGATAGTCTTGTTGTTATTCCGGATAATAATAATAACTAAGATTTGCCTACATTCTGTACCACTGATTTCGCGAGCACCGTGAGTCTCACTCGCTCAGAGCAATGAGAAAGGGTTCAGACTTGAAACCTCAATTCATTTAGCGATTCCTAAATTCCTCTATGTCACCACGAGATAGTCTAGAGTAGTGTTTCCCAACCATTTTTGGGTCATGCCCCACTTTAGCCTTTTAAAAATTCTTATATAAGTTACATATTTTTTAAGAACAAATAAATATATTGTTTCCTTCAGAAACTTAAATGATATGTTACAGGAAATAACTTTAATTAGAAATTTTCTATATGTTTTTATTTGGCTCCGCAATCTAGCCTTGCATTTAAATGGCCAATAGAGAAAGGGTTAAACATGTATGAAGGCCATTTTCGAAATGCTCCCCTTAACAATTAAATTGGGCGTTGTGGGGGGCGTATGCCTCATGTTGGGAAACACTGGTCAAATACGATACTTCCCTCTCCAACATTTTTTCGACTTTTTGTAATGCTGTTAGTTTTAAATGAGAGCGCGTGCAGATGACACCTCAAATATGAGCAAGCACTTATATGTATGGCTGAAGGTTAATTCCTGTCTGACCTATACGACTTTTGTCTTAAAACACCACGAAGGGTTGACACTTCAGGTTGTAGTAATTTCGATTACCATTAATATTCGAGTATTATTAGAATGGGACAAGAGATTGATCCATGTGATATTTAAGATCGTGTGTTGGTGCTTTTAGTACATTTTTTGCGTAGTCGATGATATGGCACTGGATACTGACATTTTATTAATTTGCGAGGTTCATGGTACTGATAGATAACCAGTCATAACTTTTTGTAGTGTGGTCCAATTTTAGGATTTTTTATATTAAAAAAAATCCCATTATCTTTTTTCATGTAAGTCTATTACAGCTTATTACGATATGTCAAATCTACGGTCAGTTCGGAAAGATTTCGAGATGAGAGGAACTTATAAAAAAATCAGCTCGTATTATTTTCAAATTAATATTGTACATGTTTACAATAATACAGATTCCTTTTGAAATTCACATTTGGCAGAATAGAGTGACCAGCATTTGCGATTGCAAAAGCAAATAGTGTAACCAGTGTTCGTAACCCAGACCCAGTTCCCAAAAGCAGTACCCGTTCACGAGTTTGACGGATGAGCTAGTCATCATTGTACTCAACCATATTAGAGGGAGCACATTGACACGAGCCACCGCCACAAGTTTGAACTTTATAGCGAGCATGACTGTTTCAAGTTACTCACTACGTCATTTATATTTTTTACAGCATAGGCTGTAACAATAACAGTTTTCACATTGAAACCCTAACTCTTTGAGAGATAAAAACTACTTTTTGTATAACTTATGTCCGTCTCCTGACTGCAATATACACTTTCCCATTTATAATACTCCTATTAAAATAACAGTCATCAAAATCGGATCACTCTGTAAAAGTGTTGCATGGTAACCCGCCCGGTGGCATTGGTATTATTTTCACGCCGTTCTATTTGAAGATCAGAGGTTTTGTGGGTTTTTAAAGGTAACAGAAGTGATAATGGAGCATGTTATTTGGGTTCGAGTAGATTCAAATAGAAAAGTGACTGTCTCTTAATAGAGGTATAAGGGTATATTATATGTACCTGCACGAAAGAAACTCGTTGGGAATTCATATAAACTAGTGGACCTTTTTTGATGCTTCGCAAAACGTTACAACATACCGTATGAAATGTTTTCTCGAATATTCTCTAAACGTATATTAATATCTAAATCTAATATAAGAAGCAAAATATTTGTTTCTATATTTAGACCCACCGATTCTGGAACTATCAGATGGATTTAATATTTCATTTCTGCATTTGATACTCCAATTATTGAGCAGTAGCGCCATCTAGTCCCACGGTAGGTAGAGCTCAGTTATAGGTCAGACAACTGATACATTTACTTAGATATTATTTTTTTGTAAATACATACATAGTGTATATAGAAAAAAGCCAGACTGATACAAACAATCATATTCATGAATACAAGTGTTTGTAAATGTTCAAGTAAAGATGGTATTATAAATTAGGATTTTAGAAAGCATAAGTCTATTGGAATCTTGACGAAACTGAACTCGAAAGAGAAAGTGCTACTGGCAGCTAAACAAACATATAACATTTTCCCTCACTGCAAGACCATTTTATCAGCCAGCATATATTCAATGTTTTCTTGCATCCACTTTGTGTATCTATCTGTCGGACATTCTATCCGCATATCCGAACTAACATAGCATGCGCTTTTTCACGTACTCTGACACTTGTTTTCAAATCGAAACTCACGAACTTTCAGTATTCCGAATGCGCCTGAAGCCGTAATCTGCTGTCGAATGCTTGCACTCTAACAGTATTTGCACTATGCACTCTCTCAAAATGATTTTTATCTTCAAATCTATCAATCAGGCCGTTTATTTATTCAAATATCACGCAATTTTGATACAGTTTAGAATAGAAGTTATTTCCGAAGTTTTAAGTACTCGTACATATGTATATTATTATTATGATTATTTAAGTACATATAATTATACATATATTATGACTATGATTGTTATGTACTGTTATATGAAGTCTATATAATATATATGAATATTTAATGATTTTATAAACGATTTTCTATATCATTTAATATAAAATTATATCATAAACATAAATAAGATAAACAAAACTGAAATTACATATAAAAAATATAATGTAGTACAGAACAGTGTAATGATTACAATATACATATATATGTATACTGAAATAGAAATCGATGAGTATACGAGATTTACATACATTTACATAATAATAGTAAAATATATAATATATTAGTTAAGTAATAATTTTACTTCAACTTTGTGAAAGATTCTTTTGTTCGTCTTTATATAAAAACTTTGACCTCTGAACTGTAAACGTTTGAACTTACGGTAGCTATTTTGTTAATTCTCATTCGTCCACATGATGAATTCTCTGAGAAATGGCACATGTTTTAGATAAATACCAATGTGACTATAAAATATACATTTTTTTATCGATATTTTAAGCACATTCATAGAATAGAATAGAATAGAAAGTCATTTATTCAAATAAACTTACATTGAAGCACTTTTGAATAGTCATCACATTTTTTTTATTCTACCGCTCATTCCGAAAGCTTTCTCTTTTCGAGAAGAACTAGAAGGGACTGGCGTGTTACTCTTTTAAATAATTTTATTGTTACTTTACATTTTAAGTTGAAGTGTGTGAATACAAACTACCAATTAGCTCTAATTCAATTAAATACTAAAATGGAAAAAATATTAAATATACAACCAACTGGTTAAACAACTAAATAGGAGGAAATCAGTCATTGTGATTAGAGCAGACCAGTGCCTACAAGCAGCACTCGTTCACGAGTATGACGGATGAGGAACATACAATAAAAAAGAGAGATAAAAGAAGTAAAGGTGTTATTTATTGGTACACAAAATATATGAAAAGGAGAAGAGGCAGAGTGTACAAAAGATGGATAGATGATAACAAAGAGGTGGCAGATGGTACTTGGGCAAGCGTTGCTAACTATAGAGACTTTAGAGTCAGTTGGAGGAGGCCAGGCCAATGTTTGTTAGGAAACAGATGCAGATATATATGTATAGGTATATACATACGTTATATAAATGTAAAAATAAGTATTAACAAATATCAAAATAAAGGATTTATTACATTAGGTATCGTTAACTAAAATTTACTATAAATATAACACTTAATAATCGTTAAATAAAAATGTTGCTAGATATAAAAAAAATGCAATAAATATATTTGACACGTCATCAAACTGATCATTTGAACGTTAGCGTGTCTGCAATGATAATTATTAAGTAAAATAATTTAACGTATTATACATTTGTACTTAGGAACTGTTAATTATCATACATAGTATAAAATAACCCTACATACACAGGGACAGACAAAGCTTAAATCTTTAAAACTACGCAACGGATTTTGAAAAGATCGAGTGATTTTAGAGGAAGATTTGTGTATATAATACATGTACACCCGTGCGAAGCCGGCGCGAGTAGCAAGTTTTAAATACGAGCAAATAAATACAATCACTTAATATTTAACTGCTTTGTTATAATTGAATTAACTGCTCCCTTGACGTTGTTTAGTCTATTAATGTTTGTAAAACAAATTCAGGTGGGTGGCTGTTTGTTGAGGAATATCAATTTACTGGGAGAAGATAACAATAGTGACGTCACTTTTGATATGGGGTAAGTACTATAGATGCCATATTTTTTTACTTAAAGATATAAAACGTACATTTAGAGTGAACTAAAGCTCACCGCCACTAAAGCCTTGCAACTTGTGTCGGCGTTTACAACTTATATTTCCACAAAGAGAGGACACTTCCCGCATAAGCGGTACGTCATTCTGCATGGCTTTTTCGCTTTATGCCTCCTTTTATATTTTTCTTAACTAGTAGAGTAAACCTTATTGTGGTTCAAGCTAGTGAAAATACAATAGATTACTTGTATGCATTCTATTATATATCGTCCGTGAATTTTTCTCGCGTCATTTGATTTCAAACCTCTGTAGGTAGTAGATATAAAAGGTGAATAATAAAAATATACTGTATAGAGAATTTTAGTTTAAATTTACTTAAACATGAAACCACTCAACGGACCTATACTGTGTTAGTTAACCATTAATTAAAAAATATTTTTAGTGATATATCTAATAAGGCATACCTTCTTGGGAAGCAACCCCTTACTCTGGGTATGTAAAACGATATTCCCAGCCGTTAATTTCCTCGTAGCTCGATTTTCGAGCGGCGGGAAGCGAGACGCAGATTCTTCAATAATATAGGCCGTAATACAAGGGTTTCTGATAATTAACACGATATTATAATTCTATTAGTGGTGCTCGCAATTTCGAAGGCACTTCGTTGAGTGCACGATTAAGACGTCAGTTTCGATAGCACCTCATATTGTTAGGACACGCAGCGACGGTGGAGACCACAACAACCGAGCGGGTTACCTCGAAAATTTTCATATTCGAAATTGTTATCGCCCACTGTACGTATTCTATACGCATGAATAACGAAGCATACGCTCGCATTCGTAATTGAATATATGAATTGGCATCAATCATTCGCACGGGCAATAGGGAATTTAAAATGACTCCACGGAATAGGTCTGTTCTGTTACAAATGACCAAAAAAATCACAACCAATACTTTTTGCATCTGAAAAATATTAAGAGCAAATGAATACAATTGTTGTCAGTGCGACTGAATTGTATGTAAATATATTTTGCCAGCAACAAGTGTTCGGAATTTAATATTGGACGCAAAAAACGTGGCCGTAAATCGCTGCTTTAAAATTTCGCGTACGAAATATACTCAATATTAAATGATTAAGTGTGAACCTATGATACCTTTTTAATCAGCCGGGATATCTTGTCGCCGTGCTCGTAGGGTATTATCTTGCCTTGCTTGGGGTTACAGTCGAGTGTCTTGTTGGTATTATTGGCCATGGCATTGCGTCTCATGAAATTTCTGAATACGTCCGGTTTCTTCCGTAGAAGACGTAAAATGGAGTCGACTAGAACATGCACAGCATCCGCCGTGAGAGCCGCTTGAGACTGTTGAAAAAAAACCATAATTAGATAAATTATATTCCAGAATTTAATATATAATATAATAATATGTATTCACACAGCACCATGTAGTTCCAAGCTAAGCAGAGCTTGTGTTATGAGTACTAAATAACTGATATGAATACATAGATATTCTTTTAAATAGGTACATAATATCTCGTATGTTATGTACCTATTTAAAAATTAAAAATCTGAATATATATACATAGAAAATAACAACACAAACATGAACAATCACACACATGAATGTTTCTACTTTTGCTGTGCTAGGAATCGAAACATCGACTATAGAGGGCGTCAAGTATAGTATTAACAAATATTTCTTTACCAGTTACAAGGGTAATAAAATATAATTTAAATTATTATCTCTTTAAAAACATACAAATTTATATGAACTAATTTACATAAAACTTTATCGAATTATACTCCTTAAATCATTATATAGATAAAGGAAATCCACAGAAAAATCCGTACCGTAGTTACTGAGATTATCATGAACATACAGACAGATGTGGGGCGACGTTATCTGTGTAATATGTATAAATATAATTAGGTAGCTGTAGCCTAGTCCATTTTCCTACTTTCTATTTATATTATGGAATTGAGTGTCGGACTACCCCAATTTCAACACCCTTTTCCATCGCAGAAATCAAATTTCTTAGAACCTTTTATCCTTTGGCTGGACCTTAAAGGCGTTTAAGAGTACATATACATATATTATATATAAGTATCTTTCGTGTAACAAAGTGATTGTAAATACGTTAGTTACCACCTCTAGTTTGTTTTTAATATCATTTCTATTGGTATACATTAATTTATACATATATAACGAAACGGCTGAAAATATCTTAAAGAAATTTCAAGTGAAGAGAGACAGTTTTTTTAACTACTAGCTGTGTCCGCGTTTTCACTTGCGTGAAATTTATAGTCTATATGTTATTCTGATGTATAAGCTCTATTACTATAAAGTTTCATTAAAATCCGTTTAGTACTTTTTACGTGAAAGAGTAACAAACATCCATCCATACTCATAAACTTTCGCGTTTATAATATTACTAGATGAAAACCCGGCTTCGCTCGGGTGAAATGTGGGTAGATATTTCTGTAGTCATCGGTTCTCATGGAATATTAAAAGTAAGCAAGACATAGATTTGTAAAGTTTCGTTCATTGTGTTTAATAAATATAGTAAATAAAAAGTGCAAAAGTTTTTATACAAATTATTTTTATTTTTTTGTAAAACTTTAAGTTGGGCTAAAAAGAACTTGTATCCAGAGCCGTAAAACAAATTAATAAAAAAAAAATTGCCAATATTGTCTTGCACTCGGCCAATTTCAGGTTTAAAGAAAAAACACATACTCTTTTATCATAAAAAAGTGTCAAAAACAATATTTTCGCGAAACGTCAACGACCGAAGAAAATGCTAGTGAAATGAAAAGATGGCGACTGCGGTTTGTTTGTCAGTGTCATTAGAATTTAACGAAATACTCCATAATCCGAATTTTGCGGATATATGTTGTCGATTCGATATCAATATTTTTTTATGTTTTGTTATTCACATAAGGTTTCATTCGAGTCTGCCGTACCCCTTAGCAAAATTATTAATATAGATTATTATTATATACATAGACTAACATTTATCTAAAATCTAAAACAGCTAAAGTCCCTGATAAATGCTATTAAATAAACATAGAAATCGGATTAAAGGAAAACATTATATCAAATAAAATTTATCCAGCACTGAAGAAAAAAGTTAATGCACAGTCTGATCTGTTTATAAATTGGATAAGTCGAGCACAAATCGATTCGCAAAGCTACCGGAAGATGTTTAAAAAGGGCGGGTTAAATAACTTCGCCCGTTGAATGTATAATTGTGGATACAAATTCATAATGATTGGGGAGTTTCCCAGGAGAATAGTTCCGTCACTGGCCACTTTATATTACTCTCACGTATGTATGTAATATCTACCCTTCCTACGACGTCGCCCCGTCCACTAACAGACAACTCACGTTGAGAAATCTCAATGAACAATCTTACATCCTTTCTTTATTCTACTATCGTTGTATATTAATATTGATTTTGTATTTTAAATTTGTCGTAATCTTCTTATATATGAAACTAGCTGGGCCCGCGGTTTCGTCCGCGTGAAATTATTCTAGCTTAGACTATATGTTGTTCTGATGTATAAGCTATATTACTGTAAAGTTTCATCAAAATCAGTTCAGTAGTTTTTGCGTGAAAGAGTAACAAACATCCATCCATACTCACAAACTTTCGCGTTTAAAATAATAATAAGATTTTCGTGTCTCAATGTTAGTTATATATATTCCTACGAAACAGTTTAACTGATTTAGGAAATTTTATATGCATATTCAGTAGGTCTAAGAATTGGCTTCTATATATTTTTCATACCTCTAAATGGTAAGCGTTATTTGTAATGTTTATTTTTAATTTATGGGCTTTTTTTTCTTAATTTTCAATAAAGTGGTGATTAAAAACGCATACAACCCTAAATTTTCATTCTTCTGACACTAACCCCTATTTTTTAATAGCGATTTTAATTCATGTGACAATATTGTTTCCGGAGTCACCTAGTAGTGAAAATAAATAAAAGACCTTGCCTGTAAGGCAATAAATTCTATATTAGAATGACTATTAGATTTGGTTGTATAAGAAGACAACATTAGCTAATGTTTATTTTTTTTGTTTATTGTTTGTTTGTATGCTTATTTCTTTCTTTATCGGAAAGAGACTCCTTTAAATTACGCCCCTATCATAAGTCTCGGGAAGTTTTTCTTCATCTCACAGAGTAAGTAGTACCAGCACCCGAAAAATGCGTCTACGGAATGATATTTTTCTATTACTATAAGAAATATATTTACTCAGTGCTATGTTTTTTAAGCTTCAATTTTTTAATAAAATAAAATATAATACTTGATGTTATTATATGTCACCGCTAAAAAACTCCTTTACAAACGAGCAACGTTTACGTACACTATACTTTATAAACAAATGTAAATAAATGTAAATAATGCATGTTTGACATAATGATACTTTTTTTAATATCGGGCATTTTAATTGAGTTTGTTGTTATCGTAAACTTAATTAATTAAATTAAGTATATACATTAAATAATTCTTGCTAGAATTGTAATCTGGAGTAAGAAATAAGACATTCGAATTAGAAGCAAGAACTATTTAAAATACATACTTACAATGTTTTAGGTATGAACTATAGTTAAATTTACATAACAAATAAGATAATTTTACGACCTTCTTTGCTATAGTTAATATATGTAATATTGTCAAAATTTTCTGACATTGTTGCTGATATACGCTGTAAAGAAACCTACATATGTACGGCTCCAACACCGGCCTTAATTTGATCTAAATTAAGGAACAAATCCAGCAAAAATCCGCCTTAACGTAATTGCAGGGGTTCAGCGGAGCAATGTTACGAAAACCACACTAATTTTCTTATACTAAATTTGTATTTCGAATTTTTTCATGCCTTGTAGGTATTATGGCTTTGAACAAAGAAAATATATGCGAATTTTTATATATTGTTGTCGGTATATATATAAATATATATATATATAATATAATAAACTAGAATAAATAAATTAAAAAGATAAATATGTATACATATATATATAAACTTCTGTAAATATTACACATGCCGTGGCAACCAGTAATTAAGTCAACACTATATACCTGAACTCTTTGCAAGTTATAAAAATTGTAACCTCAAGGTGTATGTCTTCTTGGTCGCTCATATAAATAAATAAATGTAACTGTAAAATAAATATATGCTGAAGGACCACCTGATAGTACCCTACATCGCCAATATACCTATCAGAACCATGGTCATTAATTTGTAATATGTTGCCATTGGTAACAAATAAGGTGTCAAACGAATACGTATATACATATGTATAGGGGTATTAAATATAGTACCCCTATACATACATATATAGTAGGGTACTATATACATATACTAAATATAGTACCTCTCCTGTGTTGCCATATCTTACTACAGTCATATATCCTGGTTATCACTGCCATATTTGCAACTTCACCACACCAGAGACAGCTGGAATTAAGCAGCTTGACCTGCTCACAAAGCAAACTGCTTAGACGATGCAGATACAGATGACTTTCTAGACAAGTCTACAACGATAAAAAATACATTAAATAAAAAAATACTTACTGAAATTGTGCCCTTGTTCCACAGGCCTATAAAGTCGCTCACAACTTTTCTAGAGAAGTCCAGGACTCTAAATCCAGTTATGTTAATAGCTCCAAATTCCGTGACCTCCTTCTCCCAACGATCGTCCATAACCTGGTATTCAAATAAATATTTTTATACTTTTCTGTTTAATACACATAACTTATCTACTTATACCAGGTCTTACCATGAATAATTTTATGGTATATAAATAACCCCTAGACAATTAACACAGCACCATCTACATCCATGGTAAGCAGAGCTTGTGTTATGGGTACTAGACAACTGGTATAAATACTTAATTTTTTTTTGTAAATACATAGAAAACATCCAGACCGATACAAATAATTATATTCGTGAATACATACATATGTTTGGTACATGTATGTTATACATTTACATTCAATTATAAGTTTTAAACTGAGACCGCAACGTAAACTAGATGTTTGTAACTCTGATTGATATTGAAATATCCTGTACCAGCTTAATGCGTAACAGAGCATTCTGTATATTGCTGACTCTAAATAGAGTAAACACAAAATCAATGCTTTCGTTGCACTCCAATGAATTTACCAGTAAATTGCTGAGATTTCTGTTATAGTTTCATACCGAAATTAAACGGATATATGTTACACGTACGTGTTACTGCTGTGAAATGCAGATTAAATTAGTTTTAGAATCTAATTTATAAAGTTAGAAACTCGCTTCTAATCTTGCATTGATATTACGTAAAGGAAATTACAAGAAAAGTGAAACAACATTTCATATTACAATTTGTATGATCATGTATAAAATAATATTTGAAGGTAATAAATTTATTCTTTCTAAATTTTAATAATGTTTTGTATTTTTCAATAGAGTTAAATTTGTTAAATGTTAAATAGGGTGAGTTCATTTTCTGGGCTGAAACGATATTCTGGTCTGATAGTTAATAGTCTTCTTATATATAAAATTCTCGTGTCACAATGTTGGAACAAACACCTCTGAAATGGCTTTACCGATTTTTATGAAATTTTATATGCATATTCAGGAGGTCTGAGAATCGGCTTCTATCTATTTTTCATACCCTTAAGTGATAAGGTTTGTCCACTCGTAACATTACTTTTTTATTTTTTGGGTAATTGTTTTTATTTATATTTTTTTATTATGTGTCATTAAAAAATACACACAACTCTAAATTTCCAACCTACTATCACCAACCCGTATTTTTTTATAGTGTTATTAATTTATATGGCAAAACAACGTTTACCGGGACAGCTAGAAAAAAATATATAAAAACGTAAGGAATAAAGAGTATTTTCGATTTTAATAATAATCACATCTGTACCTTCACGGCTGTTATCTCTAAAGGGCTAATATAGTGATAAATGATAACGTTTTTGTGAATACAACTCTTCAGTTGGTATTACTAGTCTATCTACTGCTGCCTCTAGAATTAATATGTATTGTTATATGTGTTTCCATAACCAGAAATCTGAATATAGATAAAATTTATATAGTTTGAGCGACGCTCCAAAAGTATGATTTCATATTAAACTATACTCGATCAGTGAAAACGAAGGTTGTATTATAACAAATAGATTGACCTAATAAATTACAAGTACAGCAGATGTAGTTTTCTTACTTTGAACATAAAATATATTGGAAGCCGTAAACTATACTGTATTAATTGAATGGATCTGCTACCGTGTTGTGCCGTTACATCTAGCTACCGATATTTGATCCCCACATTTCGCTATTCGAAGCCATTTATTAGGATAAGAGACTAACACACAGTACTTACAGAAACATTTATTTTATCTAATAAAATATAAATTGTTAGTGGGTTAAGCAGTCAAATTACAGTATCATATCTAGTCTAGTCTAACGCAAGAACGGTATCAAAGCTATTACATGACAATGTGATATCCGTAGTGCTGTTCAGGTATGGCATTGCTTAACACTTATAAAAAGCAGGCAGGCAGATTTTTGTCATTTTAATTATAATACATATTTATATCTATATATGTATATACATATACATATATATATATCTATATCTATATCTATCTATATCTATATCTATCTATGTCTATATGTATATTTATATATTACAGAATACACTAGTAAAATGTGCCCATGAAAACAATACTTAGTTGCGCTAACAATGTTCTAATTAACTTTTAATTAAACAACAATGAATACCGTAAAATTGAGAAAAAACAGCGTTCTTTCTGGTACGGCTTTATATCACAACAAAGAAATTGGTTTTCTTATTCTATAAGACAAAAGCTAACGAAAAAAATATGAAAATTCTTTAATTATATAAAAATAATGTCACCACTCCGGCTTATACAACATATTGTAAAATACTGATTATTGACTAAAACATTTAAATCATCAGATTCGAAAGATATCCAAAAACTTCGTATGAAATAGCTTGCTATGTTTAGAAGTAAGCAGATAAACTGATTGACTATAAATTTTAATACTAAAAAATTACACCTATCGCCATTAAATATTAACTTTCTTCAACTACAGACGCGACTAAAATTATTAATTTTGTATTATAAATTTTGAATTTTTGCATCGACGGGAGTGGTATATTCTTCGGAATACACACGAGAATTTTATATATTAGAAGATATTGGCAATATTGAGGTTGCATCACAATGTATTATTTATTATTAATCTCCCGGCTCTACGAAGTTTTTACCTAAAATTACCATGAACAGAGTGGTTGTACATTTCACGTTAAATAACGTGACACTGGCAACACCGTTCAAAAGAGGAAATTTATTATTTATAGGTTAACAGACCAATGTAAACACGTAATTATAATCTAGTGATTTTTTTATTATGATAAAATATTAATAAATGCCGTGGAACCATGTTATTTAGTTTCAAGCTAAGCAGAGCTTGTGTTTATAAGACAATTGATAGACATACTAAGATATATTTTATTTTAAATATATACATAATATTTATAGAAAATACCCAAACAGTCCCATTCATTGATACAAATTTTCGTATCGTTCCACAAATCGAACTTGTGACCATCTAAAGTAAGGTTGTGTGCTTAAACATCCAGGCAGTCATAGATAGCCGTAATAGATGTCAAAGGTGAGTGAGTTCGAATCTGGCCGACACTAAAACTTAGGTGCTATTTTATGACATTTTGGTAACAGAAACACCGATGTTAATCCAAATTTATCTTAAGGACGACGTAGCTTTACTATTTCTATGCTTGCTATGTGCGATTTAAATATAGTCAGTATTTGAGCATGTAGAACATAGCTTTGACAGTTGGCAACATTTCTGGCTAACACTACTGCTCGAATAGTAATAAAAATTATGAAGTACTTAAGAGGCAAAAACAACCTAAATGAATAAAAATTTTTATTTATTTTGATTTGTACTCTACCTGCCTGGACTTACAGCCGAGAAGATATATTCATTTATTTAACCACGTAAACAGAAACAAAACGATACGAGTGAACTTAAAACTCGCTACGTCACGAACTAGTTAACTCCCTTTGTTGTGTGTAATTGAAATACAGTCAGCAAAAGGGCATATAAAGTGTTCAGTTAAGAGTTGACAACGCTAATTACTCTATTTGGAAGTACAATCGTGAAAATGTCTTTATTTATGCACGTGAACAGCAACAAAAAATACGAGATAGACTTAAAATACGCTACATCACTAGCGAGTTTACTCTCTTTGTTATGTGTCATTGAAGTAAAAACAGCAAAAGAGCATGTAAAGTGTTCAGTTAATAGTTGACAATGCTAATTATTCTATTTGGAAGTACAATCGTGAAAATGTCTATATTTATACATGTGAACAGCAACAAAAGATACGAGATAGACTTAAAATACGGTACATCACTAGAGAGTTAAGTCTCTCTGTTGTATGTGATAGAAATAAAGTCAGCAAAATGGCATGTAAAGTTTTCAGTTAACAGTGGACAACGCTGATTACTCTATTTGGAATTACAATCGTGAAAATATCTTTATTTATACACGTGAACAGCAACAAAACGTTAATAGTATACTTAAAATACGCTACATCACTAGCGAGTTAACTGCCTTCATTAGGTGTGATTGAAATAGTCAGCAAAAGGGCATGTAAAGTGTTGCTTTAATTGTTAAAGCATTCCTGATTTCTCTATTTAGAATTACTATTGTGAAAATGTCTTTATTTATACACGTAACAGCAACAAAACGTTACGAGTAGACTTAAAATACGCTACGTCACTAACGAGTTAAGGGATTACTCACTAGTCCACTGAGGAAGTAATGGTAGTTTCTTCGTCCAAGTTGCACGTCACGTACGTGCAAAATTAGAGCATCTTTCGCGAGTTTAGTTGTTGAATCGAGAACAACGTATTTGTTACTCCAACGGTCGAGACGTTCAATTGCGATAAGGAAGGCCACCACCTCCGTTGCGTTGGTTACACGTTTCACGTTCGAAATTCTGAATGTCGCGTTGCCGGGTTGAAGACTCTGGTACAGCTGCTGCAGACGAAGGAGACCTGTGAATTAAAAAGCTTATTTAGTATTGTGATGGCTGTAATGTTGGTTTGAAGGTAGTAGATGTTGTTTTTTAAGGTATATTATTTAATCAATTTTTCATATACTGTATAATACTATATGCGGTAAACAATTATAATATTTTTTTAGTATTGTAATAGCTGTATATAGTGTTACAAAAAATATGTATTGAAGAATATTATTAGTTAATGTGGTATGTTGGATTCAAGTGGTGATAGAGTAAGAATACAATTTGTCATTGTTCCTTTTCATCTAAAGTAATAATGTAAAGTATAAATAAGAGGGGATTAGTGGAACAAAAGTAATTATGTTAACCCCAACAGAACAATATCTCAAACAGAATCCTACAGAATACAGTTTGACCAGCATGGCAATGGCAAATATATTGCTCCAAGAAGAGAGACATTTGGAGTAGAACAATGAAGCGAGTTTATTCAAAATTTAAAGAACACGAACATATAGGAAGGAAATAAATATATTGCGTGTAAATTATTTAAAACATTATTTAATGGATTTATAATATTTTGTGTAATTCTGCAGTTAATTCTTTTGACAAACTGCGACTGTCAAGACGAGGCTTCCAGTTCTGATATATCTGAACTTTATTCAATGCCTGATGATGTCTTGTTCAGAGACATCATCAGGCATTAATATCAGAGCTATTTAATTATATGGGTACACAATATGAGTGTACACTTCGTGACGATCGGAATTTGATCGCCAATAGAGAAGATCGTAACGCATCCAGTAACGATGGTTACTTTATTCAATGCCTGATAATGTCTAGTTCAGAGACATCATCAAACATTATATGGATATATTATATGAGTGTAGACTCCATAATGATCGGAATTTGAACGCCAATAGTAACTCTTGCAGTAACGATGGTTGCTTTATTCAATGCCTGATAATGTCTGTTCAGAGACATCATCAGGCATTAATATTAGACCCATATAATGATATGGGTATACTATATGGGTGTACACTTCATAACGATCGGAATTTCATCGCCAATAGAGAAGATCGTAACGCTACCAGTAACGATGGTTAGGTTCTCGCACTGAATATTTGTGGTCTCATACAAGTTAATATTAGCGGAATAAAACAAAATCATATAAATCCATTACGTAATAAAATGACTTTTCGCAAAACAATACCTAATTCGATAAAATATATTTAAAACAGATTTTATTTTACAGATTCTTATTCCCTTTTACATTCGGTTTGACATTGCTGTAAATCTCTAATATAATTCTAAATACTTTTAGTCGTAAACATAAACATCAAATGTGATTTATTTTGGTGATGTTATAAACCTGTGATAGCGTACCTTTTTATGGCTCACTGTCTTTTCAAATATTGTTATAACGCCTTAATTTTAAATGTATATCTTCCATTTGGAATTTATTATTACCCGTAAGTACGAGTATATAAATACACGAAGCTATGGAACAACATTCAGCGTGCTATATAAAAAACGAATGAATAGATCAGTACCAGTAGTGTAGTAGAGGTCGTTGACCGCACCTTTCTTTTAGAATATAATTTCACGAGACTGGATTATATATTGCCTTTGCGTTATTATATTGAAATACTAAAAAAGTGAATTAATTGTTAAACTTTTTGTATGGTTAAAGTGCTTAATGTTTATGCTTTGAACTCCGCTTAAAATTGCCGTACTTTAAAATTAAAATTAATTAAAAGTTCAATTATAAATATATAAGTTTTAGAATTTATATATATAGATATTTTGAAAGTTACCTTTTTTTACATTTTTATTGGAAGCTTTTATAATGCACAGCCTATACGAATCTGCGAAAATGCCTCAAGCTGTTAGATATCATATACCTACATTTATTGGTAGTACATCACCCCGGTGCACAGGACTAAAAATTTGAATCTTTATTTTAAAAATATGTATTCCAATAAAGTAGAGAACAAGTAATATATTGATTGTAAATCCTTCTAGTTGACTTTTACAATGATTTAAGTTACTTTGTAGTGACGATAATTACATTGTTACCATATATAGAAAATATAAGTCATTAATATTAAGTGATTCATTATACAGCACCCGATTTGGCGCTTTTGTCATAATTTAAGTGTAATATCCGCAAAAAGATTGAAGCCGTGACGAAGACTCGTCGAGAAGAGGGTTGACGTGTATGTAATGAAGGCATTTGCAGGATTTGTCCGCCATCCGACCATCTCCCGGAAGGCCGGCCTCGTCTCATTGCAATTTCATATCGCGTCATACTACAGCCCTTTTCTATTTTTCACACCTTCTACATCAGACAAACAATTGTATGGCATTTTTAATTAGCTACTTAAGGAATTAACTTACTTTAATTATTTTGATTATACACATAATTTGAACACCATTTTGTGTCAAATGCCAAAAGTTCTAAGTAGCGTTCATTACAGATGTCTCGTAACCTCGCGGTAACCGCTTCTTTTCAGGAATAATTAAATAATTTATTCGTACTATCTTTTATCTTAAATAACCGTTTTTCACTACATGCCATATGCATGTAGTAATATAAATACATACATACATATATACATTGGTACATACACCAAAATCATTTTTAATAATTTTTGTCTGTCAGTCTGTTTGTTTGTTCCGACTATCTCTGAAATGACTCTACCAAATTTGACGGGACTTTTATTGGAAGGTAGCTGATGTAATAAAAAGTAGCCTAAGTTACTCCAACTTAGGCTACTTTTATTTTAGAAAAATAAAGTTTAATTCCACGCGAACGAAGTCGCGAGTACAGCTGATGTAGTATAAGTGAAGTTGTTTTGGCTATCTGTTCGCTTAGATCTTTTAAAATACGCAACGGATTTTAATACAGTTTTAGCAATAGAGTGATTCAAGTAGGTGTGTATGTATAATACATGTACACCCGTGCGAAGCCGAGGCAGGTAGCTAGTAATATCATAAATGTAAAAATGTACCGATCTATACCTCTAAATTACTATACCGGTCTTAATTCGGTGTGGAGATAGATTAAAACATAAAAATGAATATAGTTTATCTTTTATCTGAAAATGGTAAAAGTTGTGGGTAAGATCTGAATAATTTTTAACTAAAATAGGTTTATTTTATTGAAATTTCTATATATAAGAATAACAAGTATCATAGAATCACCCACGTAAGTCTAATTAAATTGAGGGATTCTAAGAACAATATTTATAAAACTTTTTAATTTACTTTTTGCCGCTATTTTATATATTAAGGCGAAATATTTTTTATTATTATACTTAATATACCAATATTTTTTTACAATTATTATGTGGTTAAAATAATAAATACTTAATGATTCGCTATGTACTTAATAAAAATAATTATACTTTAAATATTGATTCGCTTTCTTTTTCATGTAACCAATGACTATATGTTATTTGTATTATATTATTGTAGATTTATTTTATAAGTTATGTATTTATATATTATGTAGAATGTATATGTTTATAATATGTATTATTTTATATATTAATATTATTAATGTTTCTACTCCATCATCCGCCATCCACCACCTTCTGTCATTCTTCACAAAGGTTGTCTGGAAGAGATCGCATAAGCAATAAGACCGCCTTTTGTACCCATATACTAAATATTGTTTTCTTTTGTTTATATGTTTTTTTTTGTTATAATGGTGCAATAAATAAATAAATGACAAACTAGCTTGCGGCCTGTCTGGTGGTAAAGTGATGTGTATAATACATGAAGAGCTTTAAGGACCATCATGCTATCATCATGCATGTGATATATGCGCTGCTATTCCAGAAGACTTAGACCTCATTCCTCTGTACCCAGTACTTCACTACCTATTTCATCGTTTAACGAAAACGCATCTAACAAAGTGAGCTGCTTGGCGGCTAATACAAACGTAACATATGTACCCACGACTGTGTGACTAAGCATACCTGACGTTCTCGGTGGTCTAGCGATTTAGTACACCGTCTTACTTCCGATGGTCGCGGGTTCAATTCGTACAAACATTTGTATTAATGAGTATGATTGTTTGTATTGATTGTGTTTTCTATGTACATTATGTAAGTATTTACAAATTAAAAATGTGTATAAATATCGGTTGTTTAGTACCACCAGCTTTGTTTAACATGTGACTAGATCGCGCTGCGTAAATTATCCGCGGTTATTATTATTATTATACATCGCTTCAAAACTTGAGGTACATATATGAAGACATCTGAAAATGTAGTTAAAAGGAAGCATGTTACGATGGCAGCGAGATTAAACGGCGTACGTTTTTGTGACAAAAGAATGCCGCTTTCCTTACTGAATATACCGGCATATCCCTATTAAGAAACGTGATGTATTATGTATATATTGTTTGTTTATATAAAATTTTGTTCATCAAGAAAATTAATAATTATAACACCGGACAAATCACAGCGCCATCTAATCCTCAGCTATGTAGAGCTTGTGTTATGTGCATTATAAAGTAAGTAGGTACATAGGTATATTCATATGAACTTCGTTATTATATCACGTTTACTTTCAATTTCAACATCACAGAAGACCGAAGAGCTGGCAGCTACCTTGGACAGAATTAGTCTAGCTATTCAAAGAGGAAACGCTGCCAGTATCTTCGGAACGTTGTCTAAAGGGACCCCTTTTAATAATATATTTTAGTTATTATATTATATTTTTTAAGCTTTTTAATTTTAAGTTCTTAGTTGTACAATTAGGTTATGTATAAATTGATAGACATGAGGTTATTATTACATTTTAAGTAATATAATTTAAAAAAAATAGTTAAAACTCGTATAATTGTTGTCTGCGTATTGATAGAAACGGATATATTTGTTTCATTTGATACTTAGTCCTGATGATTTTACTCTGTACACACAAATCTCTGTTGAAATCTATTTCTACAGTAATAAAGATACATATTTTTCTTTATAATATTTTTGAACGTATTGTCCTGTTATAGCGTTATAAAAAAATGGTAAA